CCTACCAGATTGGAAAAAATGATTGAAGGGGAAAGTGACAAATGTTGCAGGGGATGTGGAAAAATTGTGACACTAATTCATCGTTAATGGGATTGTGAACTCATCCAACCATTTTGGAGAGCAATCTGGAATTATCCCCAAAGAGTTATTAAACTGCCTATACCCTTTGACCCAGCAATACCACTACTAGGTCCATTTCCAAAGATGATTAGGGAAAAAGGAAAAGAACCTATTTGTTCTAAAATGTTTCTAGCAGCTCTCTTTGTGGTGGCAAAGAACTGGAAATTACAGAGATGCCCATCAATTAGGGAATGGCTGAACAATTTGTGGTATATGATTATGACGGAATGCTACTGTGCTATAAGAAATGATGAGCTCAATGATCTTAGAAAAACATTGAAAGACTTGCACAAAATTATGAAGAGTGAAATGAGCAGAACCAAGAGAACATTGTATACAGTAATAGCAATATTGTTTTAAGAACAACTTTGAGCAAATAAGTAATTTTGACTATTGTAAATAACCAAATTAATTATAAAGGATATATGAAGAAAGATGCTATGTGCATCCAGAGAAAGAACCGATAAACTGATAGGTATATATAGATAGATAGATATAGATACAGATACAGATATAGATACAGATATGCCTATTTGTGTCTAATGGTAGCCATCTCTATGGTGGGGGAAGGGAGAGGAAAGGAAAGAAAAAAAAGAAATCTACATGATACGTTTATTATATATTTGAAAGGAATAGCAAGTTCTACATAATAGATTTGCAGTTTCATGCACTATAATCTTTTTTATCATACTATGTTTTGGAATTCCATAAATTAAAAATAAAATAAATTACAATACAAAAAAAGCAAAATTGGCCAAATGAAAAAAGAAGTACAAAGACTCATTGAAGAAAAGAACTCCTTAAAAAGTAGAACTGGACAAATGGAAAAGAAGGTACAAAAGCTCACTGATGAAAATAATTCCTTAAAAATTAGAATTGGGCAAATGCAAGCTAATGACTCCATGAGACATCGAGAAACAATAAAACAAAATCAAAAGAATGAAAAAAAAAAGGAAGAAAATGGGAAATACCTCACTGGATAAACAACTGACCTAGAAAATAGATCCAGGAGAGACAATTTAAGAATTATTTGACTCCCTGAAAGCCATTTTCAAGGAAAGAGCCTAGATATCATATTTCAAGAAATTATCAAGGGAAAAACTACCCTGATATCCTAGAACCAGGGGATAAAATAGATTGGAAAAATCCACTGATCATCTCCTGAAAGAGATCCCAAAATGAAAAGTCCCAGGAATATTATAGTCAAATTCTAGAGCTCCCAGGTCAAGTAGAAACTATTTCAAGTAGCCCAGAAAAAAAAATACCATGGATCCACTATCCGAATCACACAAGAGTTAACAGCTTCTACATTAAAGGATTAGAGGTCTTGGAATATCATATTCCAGAAGGCAAAGGAGCTAGGATTACAACCAAGAATCACCTACCCAGCAAAACTGAGTATAATCCTTCAGGGGAAAAAATGGACATTCAGTGAAATAGAGGACTTTTGAGCATTCCTGATGAAAAGACTAGAGTTGAATAGAAAATCTGACTTTCAAACACAAGACTCAAGAAAAGCATAAAAAGGTAAACATGAAAGAGAACTCTTAGGAGATCCAATAAGGTTAAACTGATTACATTCCTACATGCGAAGATGATACTTGTTACTCCTAAAAACTTTCTCATCATTAGAAGGAGTTACTGTTGTGTTTGTCCTTCATTCCCGAAGAGGACCATGACATTGTGGAGATGATGACATGACTTGCAATTGACTTTGATTTGAGTGAGGGAGGGCTGAAAGTGAGAAGGAGTATCATAGACAGAGAGCATGGGTGTGAGTTAAATATGATGGGATGATTATCTAAAAAATCAAAATTAAGGCATGAGAAAGAGGAATGCACTGGGAGAAGGGGAAAGGGAGAAGTAGAATGGGGTAAGTTATCTGACATAAAAGAGGCACAAAAGAGCTTTCACAGTGGAGGGGTAGATGGGGGGGAAATGAAGGGGACAAAGTGAACCTTACTCTCATTGGAATTGGCTCAAAAAGGAAATAACAAGGGGCACCTAGGTGGCACAGTGGATAGAGCACCAGCCTTGTATTCAGGAGGACCTGAATTCAAATCTGACCTCAGATACTTGACACTTACTAGTTGTGTGACCCTGGGCAAGTCACTTAACCCCAATTGTGTTGCAAAAAAACCCCCCCCAACATATACACTCAGTTGGATATAAAAATCTATCTTACCTTACAGGAAAGTAGGAGGGGAAGGGAATAAGAGAAGGGCGGGTTGTGACAGAAGGAAGGATGGATTGGGGGGAGGTAAGAGAATTAAAACACTTTTGAGAATGGACAGGGTGAAAGGAGAGAGAGAAGGATAAACAGTGGGGAATAGGATGGAGGGAAATAACATAGTAATAACTGTGAAAAAAATTTTGTAGCAAATTTCTTTGATAAAGACCTCATTTCTCAAATAGAGAACTGGGTCAAATTTATAGAAACAAGAGCCATTCCTCAATTGATAAATGGTCAAAGGACAGGAACAGGCAATTTTCAGATGAAGTAATCAAAACTATTTATAGTCATGTGAAAAAATGCTCTCAATCATTATTATTAGAAAAATGCAAATTGAAACAACTCTGAGTTACCATCCCACCCCCACCAGATTGGCTAATATGACAGAAAAAGAAAATGACAAATGTTGGGGGTATGTGGGAAAATTGAGATACTAATGCATTATTGGTGAAGTTGTATACTGATTCAACCATTCTGTAGAGTGATTTGGAACTATTCCCAAAGGGCATACCCTTTGACCAAGCAATACCACTACTAGGTTTGTATCCCAAAGAGATAAAAAACAAAAAGGAACAGTACCTATGTGTGCAAAAATACTTATAGCAGCTCTTTTAGTGGTGGCAAAGAATTGGAAATTGCGGGGATGTATACCAATTGGGGAATGGCTGAACAAGTTGTGGTATATGATTGTGATGGAATACTATTGTGCTATAAGAAATGATGAGCAGGATGCTCTCAGAAAACTTGGAAAGACTTACATGGACTGATGCAAAATGAAATGAGCAGAACCAAGAGAACACTGTATACAGAATAACAATATTATATGATGATCAACTGTGAATGATTTAGGTATTTTCAGCAATACAATGATCCAAGACAATTCTGAAGGACTTATGATGAAAAAATTCTATCAATATCCAGAGAATGAACTAATGGTGTCTGAATGCAGATCAAAGCATACTTTTTTTTAAACTTTATTGTTCTTGGTTTTTTTGGGTCTGTTTTCTAACATGACTATAATGGAAATATTTTACATGAATGCATATGTATAACCTATATCAAATTGCCTGCCTCCTCAATGTGGGGTGAGGAGAGGGAGGGAGAGAGAGAATTTGGAACTCAAAATTTTAAAAAAGGAATGTAAAAAAATTTCTAACATATATTTGGAAAAAATATTTTTAAAAAATTAAATATTTTCAATGACTGAAATTCAACTTTTTTCCTTTCTCCCTTTCTTCCTCCACCTGTTCCCCAAACCCCATTTAAGAACGCAAGAAAACCAAAATCTGTTACTAATATGTATAGTCGAGCAAAACAAGTTCCCACATTGGCTATGTCCAATGCAGAAGAGTTGAGGAATCAGGCCTCAAAGGCCTTTCTACTAAGATATTTCGTAACTCATTTATGAAGGATTTAGGTCAAGATATATAGGAAGAAGCTATGTGATGACATCTTCTTAGGGGCTGGGGAAATCTACTAAAATGGCTATACCCTGAGAGGGACCTTTGCCTAACACTGAATCCATAAACTATCCCTTTTCTGCCCAATACTCCAGCTATGGAGGCCGCATATGGAAAGTGACCCTGCACGGCTAAACACAGCATCATTCAGCCCAGGTCCATTCATGGACACAGAAGAGTCAGAGACAATCTACTTTGCCACAGTACCTGGGGCTAACCTAGAAGTTTGGCCAGTGATTGATATATGATGGATGCATTGAGGATCATAGCCTAGAATGTCTAGGAAGAAGGGAGGAAAAAGGAATATATGAGAGGAGAAAGTTTCTGCTTTATCCTCTTAGCCTGAGGTGAGAAGGCCTCATTAAGAATAATATCACAGGACCACAGAACTGAAGGCAGTGGTGGTGGCGGCAGCATGGATGGAGGACAGAGGCGTCAAACAGCCGAGTGCCTGGCAGAAAGGATGCTGGACATTTACTTCCCATGGGACTAGCAAGCGTGGTGTACCCAGGCTTCTTGCATTTCCCTAAGATGTCCCCAATTGGTGTTATAAATCTTTCTGGAACTGAGAAAAATCATTATGTGGGAAGGGGAAGAAATGGCCATTACTTGCAAGTGAGATAGATATTAAATGTTCTTTGGCTAAGATGCTGGAATACCAGTCCTTTCTCTGTCAGCTACTGTCCTAAATAAATATCCCGTGTTTAAAGGCTGATTAGAAATCTTGGTTTGCTCGCAGGAGGGAAATTGAACTTATCTCAGGAAAACAAAACAAAACTAGAAATGAGTCCGATTCTGATCTTCCCAGAGAGATTTTGGATGGGGGCACAGACAGACCAAGGTTATTGATAACATTGAGAATTTCCAAGATTGAATCTGGGTCCACATGTGCCCAGATGCTTTGGTAAGGGTAAGTAGGTGACGGGATAATAGTATTTTTGCTCTCTGTTTGTGTTTGCTATTTGTTGAGTTGTGAGGTCCCACTCAAGACTACTGTCATTAATGATTCCTCATTTTTCACTGGTTTCCAGTGAGAAGTAAAGATGATACCAGAGTAGCCTCCGTTGTTTGTCTTGGAAGAGTTTAAGGCTATGGAGGGAAAGGACTTCATCCGTGATCACTGGAAAGTCAAGTCCCCTCTGAATGTCCATATACAGGAATTAAAATGGAGACAATAAAAACAAACCTTCCACAAAACTGACTTTATTCTATTCATACACAGCTTCTCAGGGCCAAAAAACAATCAAAATATGGGGGAATGAACGTTATTAGACAGCTCTCTGAAGAAGTGCTGCTTCAGAGTTTTCAGAAATTAGTTGTACAGGAATGTAGTTAATGAAAAATGAGTGGGGAAGGTTAGGGAGGGGAGGGAGTGGGAGAGAGGAATGAGGAAATGGAAAACAAAGCATGTATAGCAAATGCTTAAAATTTTCACTCCCCTCTGATCTACTATACTGGTATCCCTTCTTTCAAATTAGACAATCACCAAACCCCATTAGAAACTGAAGTCACTGCTGTGTCAAACACATAAAGAACAACAGGTTTACTGGACCACGAAATAACCGGATTGAATGCAGACCATGATTTACTCTTTACGCACCCGTGACAGTCCTGAAGTGAGTGCCAGTGGCGAAGTAAGTGGTGACTGGTCAAGAGTTGCTCTGGCCTGGACCAGGTTGCGCAGCGGCTCACTTGAAGCCCCCGGTTCTCTGAGATGCTGCTCATCGAGTGACCGGGGAAGCCACCTCCTTCTTCTCACTCTCATCGCCTACTTGTGGGTCTCGATGTTACCTGAGTGGTCTCTGTGCTACGCTTGTGCAGCCCCGCTGCTGAAACTTCCTCTAGGAAACTGACAAACAGATAAGAGGTTACTCCAAGGATGAAAATAAGTCATAGTTTCCAAAATAAGGAGCAAGGTTCTCCTCCCCAGGTCAGAAACGAGTTAACAGCTGATTTGACATTTGGGTGTAGCCTAGAGACCCTGGCATCTCTCCCCACAGCACTTCTCAGGCTCAATACACCCAAATACATATGACTTGAGACCGGAATAATAATTCTGGATTTCCAACCTAAATTTCCAAAAGATTATCCCCTTATCCTTTAATCACTGCAATATAAATGGAATCCAGGAGAGAGGGATGACCATTACGGGCCTCTCTGTAATTTAGGGGATGCTTAGATATTATTCTTAACCTAAGCTTGGGTTTCTTTCTTAATAGGAACAATTTCATAGTACCTAAGTTAAGGGGTGGGAGGAATGGTTGAGTGTCTTTATTACTACCATTTATTAGGCTTTTCTGTTTTTGCAGTGCTGAGTACACAGAAAATGCTACGCAGGCTTGGAGGACCAACATTTTAGACTGCCATGCAAAAGGTAGAAGTCAGAGCAGGGGAAATGGGAGAAGACCCCATTTGGTCAGCTACACTAGCCTAATTATGGCTCTGTGCACAAGACACTCCATCCCTGTTCTCCATATTTTTGCCCTGGCTGCCTCCCATTCCTGGAATGCTCTTTGACCCTTCTCACTTCCGTCTTTTAGTTTCCCTAGCTTCCTTCAAGACTCAGCTTAAATTTCACCTTCCCCATCCCCCTAGCTCTAATGCCTTCCTTGCCGAGATCACCTTTCATCGACTCTCTCTATAGCTGGTATCCAGCTACTTACACGTTGTCTTCCCCATTAGAATGTGAACTTCTCCGGGACAGGAGCTTTTTTTTTTTTTTAACCTTCTTTGTATTCTCATAGTCCCAGAATTTAGCTCACTGCCAGGCACACAGTAAGCACTTAATACATGCTCATCGCCTGACTGCCCCATACTGATATTCAGTGCTTCTGCTACCCAACAGAAAGGTAGATTTAGACTTAATGTCTGGAAAAACTAACAATTAGGGCTGTCCAAATGTAGAACAGGTTCCCTGGGAAGAAAATGTTTTCCTTTTTTTTACTGGAGGTCTTTGAGTTAAGACTGAATTACCAGAATCACAGAAGCTGAGGGTCGGGTTGGAAGGAGCCTCAAAGATTATTTAGTCTCATCTGTGCCCTGAATAAGAATCAATTCTACAACATACCTGGCACCAGGCCATCCAGCCTTGGCTTGAAGAATGCTAGTAAAAGGGAGCCCATGAGCTCCCAAGACAGGCAATTTTATTTTTGGACAGCTCTAATTTTCAGAATTTTTTTTCTTTTAATACTGAGCCTAAATATAATTCTCTGAAACCTGCACCCACTGCTCACACCAAGTCTCATTCATCTTCCACGCGGCTCCTTTAAATACTTGAAAACAGTTATTGTGTTCTCCCCCACCCCCAAGTCTCTTCTCTGTAAAACAGACCCAAGCCAACCCCCAGATGGCATTACCTTGAGATTCTTCATTATCCTAGTTGCTATTTTCTGGAAAATTTCAAGCTTAACAGTGTTTTTCTTTAATGTGCTACACAGAACTGAACACAGTACTCTAAATGTGGTCTAAGCAGGGCAGAGTATTTGGGAACTTCTCTAGGGCCCTCGATGTGACTCATCTCTTAATGCAGTCTAAAATGGTATTAGCTTTTTAGGCTGCCTTATCACTCTAGGCAGCTAGGTGGCGCACTGGATAGAGCGCCAGGCCTGGAGACAGGAAGACGCACCTTTGTGAGTTCGAATTTGGCCTCAGACACAAAACAGCTACGTGACTCTGGGCAAGTCACTTAACCTTGTCTGCCTCAGTTTCCTCATCTGTAAAATGAGCTGGAGAAGGGAATGACAGATCACTCCAGTATCTTTGAACTTTAAAAAAAATTTTTTTTGTGGGGGAGGGTTAGGCAATGGGGTTAAGTGACTTGCCCAGGATCACACAGCTAGTAAGTTTTATGTATCTGAGGCCAGATCTGAACTCAGGTCCTCCTGACTCCAAGGCAGGAGCTCTATCCACTGCGCCACTCAGCTGCCCCTACACTCCAGTATCTTTGCCAAGAAAACCCCAAATAGGGTCATGAGGAATTGCACACAACTGAACAGCAAATCATCCCACTGACTCACGTTGAGGCTGCAGTCCATTAAACACCCCTCACCCCCAACCTTTCTCCGATACACTGTGGCAATCTAGCCACGCCAACAACATGTTGTACTTGCAAATCGGATTTTTTTGAACCCAAGTTTAGAACACATTTATTCCTATTAAATTTCATCCTAACAGATTCTGCCCAAAGTTTTAGCCAACAAGCCTTTTTTTTTTTTTGGTGAGGCAACTGGGGTTAAGTGACTTCTCCAGAGTCACACAACTACTGCGTGTCAAGTATCTGGTCTGACACCGGATTTGAACTCAGATCCTCCTGACTCCAGGGCTGGTGCTCTATCCGCTGCACCACCTGGCTGCCCCAACAAGAAAGGCCATAGATAGTTTTTGCTCTCTTACAGTCTAATAGGGGAGAAGACACGCAAAGTAACTATGCACACAAAAGATATGCACAGGATACATTGGAAACAACTCACATGTGTAAGGAAATAGTGTTAAGGAGGATCCGGAAAGGCTTCTTTAGCTGAAACTTTAAGGAAGCCAGGGAAGCTAAGAGATGGCTATGAAGAAGACAGATAGTTCCAGGGATAGGAGATGGCAAGTGAAAGGTGAGGATCAAAACGAAGAGAATGCTCAACAGCGTCAAAGGCTGCGGGGAAGTCAAGAAGGATGAGGATGGAGAAAAAAGCCATTAGATTTGGTGAGCAAGAGATCACTGGTAACTTTGGAGACAGCATTTCTGCGGAATGATGAGGTCAGAAGCCAGACTGCAGACTTAAGGAGGGAGTGAGAGGAACGTCAGTGGAGGCATTGATTGTACACAGCCTTCTCAAGTTTAGCCATGAAAGGGAGGAGAGATACAGAATGATAGCTAACCTGTCAAGATCCTTTTGGACCTTACTATAATCCAGGGTGTTAGCTATCTTTTCTAGCACTGTGTCATCTACAAATATAACAAGCCATTCATTTATCCAAGTCACTGATTAAAAAAAGTGTTAAAACAGCACAGAACCAAAAAGGCTATCTTTTGTCTCAATTCTTACCTAGCCCATAGTTACTGAATGGGCATTGCCTCAGACAAACTGAGACCTGGGAAAAACCTTAATTTAGAAAGGCCAACGTCACCCACTGCATCCAGGGCCATTACAGTTGTCTTGACTTTGTCTTGTCACTGGACTCGGATGACTCTGGAGGACAGAGTGAGGCTGATGACTTTGAGCAGCTCTGCCTCACTTCAATGCAGTTCACTTGAAAGTCAAGACATCACCCTCCTGATGTCACCGGTTTTTTTCGAGAAAGAAGGACAAACAACAAGTGGAGATCCCTGGAGCACCCCACTAGAAGCATCCTTGTAAGAGGACATTTAAATAATTAGTGACTACTCTTTAGGTCTAGCCATTTAAACAGGTATGAACACACTTCACTGTACAATTATCTGACACATGATCTCCCCATTTTGTCTGTAAGGATAGCACAAGAAACAGTGTTAAATGCTTTGCTAAAATACATTTTACAACATTCCTCTAATCTACCAGTCTAGTCCATCAAGGGCAATATTTCAAGAAGCTATGATTTCGTCAGTGGTGGGCAGCCTCTCCACCAGTGCAGATTGTAATCAGACTATGATTTATGGTCTTAGAGAGTTACTCAGGGCTCAGAGAGGTGAAATGACTTGTTCTACAATCACACAGTAGTTAAGGGTCAGGTATTCCTGACTCCTAAGGTCTAGCATTTTATCCACCAGACCATACTGACTCTCTTTGAGGCTAATAATCTTGTCCAAAAGGATATGAGCCAAGCCTGCCGTGAACTGTTCTTGATGAAGCCATAATTGTGCTTTCCTTTTCTAGATGTCTACTAACAATCCCTTTAGCAATATGTTACAGAATTTTTGCTAGGAATCAAAGTCAAGCTCATTGGCCTATAGTATGCAGACTCCACCCTTTTCTCCTTTCTGAAAATTAGGAAAACACTCTGCCATTGAGTCCCATGGCACCTTTTCAGTTCTCCATAATCTTTCAATAATTACTGACAATGAATCAATAATTACATCTGCCAGTAATGTAGCTTGTTTGGGCCTAATGATGTAAAATACTCAATGGTGGCTGGGTGTCCTCTTACCAGCTTCCTATTTATCTTATGTATCAACTCCCTATCAGCAATTTTTGTTTGGCTTCTCCAAAGTTGAAAGATTATTCTCCTTGTTAGCAAAAACACCGCAGTTTTATCTTCTCTCTGTTGCCTCTTTTCATTATTTCATTTGCTATAAGCAGTGGTGAGGTTTCATCTTTGATTCTTCTTTCTCCTGACCCTGCAGAGATTTTTAAAAATCTTCTTTTTGTCCTTAATATCCATTTTGAACTTAAACATTCCTGGTATTATTTGTACAGGGCTATGTCACTGTTCATATTCCTCCTCAGTTACCTGTTCTTATTTCTTTCTTCTGTAAATATCTTTCTTAAAAATCTGATGAGTTGATGAATGGGTTCCCAGAATATCTACAGGGACAAGTTTAGACAACTTCCTTTCTTCCTCCTGTTTGGAATTGTTTCTCTTTGTATCTTCAGAATTTCAACCTTGAGACCTTTTCATCCTACTTCCCCCACAGAATTTTAGTCCATGGGAATCCTACTTTCTCTGAATCCTGTGGTTAAATCGTGCCCAACTTTCTTCTCCTCTCTCACATATTCTGAGATGAGCAGGTCCCTTCCCCCTAGATTCCTATCATCTTAAGTCAGCATGTTCTTTCTTTTTGGTAAGAATCAGGTTCAGAACAACAGTATTCCTCATTGGCTCCTCTCTCTCTCTCTCTCTCTTTAAAAGGCTGCTCAGAGTTTATTAATTTCTGTTGAGTTC